ATTCACAGCCATTTCCACTTCAATCCAGGCGTGTGCCTGGACCTCAGGCCCGCGCCTGTCAGAGGCCTGGACCGGAATTTTCTCCTATAAAAGGAGGCCTTCGCCCTTCATTCACAATCAAGCCTTCTTCCGGGTCTTTAAGGCCCGAAACTCCATTCTCCGCTCTTTTCTCAGTTATATTTTAATATTTTAGTTTAGTTTTGTTCTGGTTGTCCAAAAGTGGCTCCAACTCTGCTCTCAGTTGTAAATTTATTTTTACAACTTTTAATAAAATGTTCTTTTCTTTTATGCACTATTGATATCTAGTATGGGTTAGGGCCTAGATTAGGGTCCTGGCTAAATTTGGCATATACTCTGTATGTTTATTTAATAGTTGGAATAATTGTTCTAGAATTATTTTTATTGTTAAATTACTTAGTTATGTCGAGAGAAAAATTAATTAATTATTGGAAATTAGTGTTTGCCTGGTCTATGAGGATATAAAATTAATTAAGCCAAACTTTTTAGAACACTTTAATGTTGCCTTGAGAGAGGATAAGTTAATGAAATATTTGTGACAAAAATATTATTATTCCAATTATTGATTAAATATGTGACAACAGTAGTTAACTCAGATGATGCCTTGGCCCGAAGTCTAGTCCTATACCCGTACTATTTATTTTCTTTTTCTCAAAAAGCACTGAGTAGTTAGTTTATTATTATTTTTAAATCCAATCGAGAAGACTTTCAGACTTGTCCAAACCTTCGTCTAGTTAGAAAAATTAGCTAATTCCCTTCGTCCACTCCTCGAGAGACACGACACTCGGAGAAAACTAACCCTTCATTGGGAAAATGGACTTACCGAAAAAACTAAATCATCAAGAACCGTGTTGGGCTTGAACCCACCGTTGTTACATTTAACTCATTCGAGACTTTACATTTACTTTTCTTATTTACTTCCACTATGAGGCAGTTTCTTTAAACTAATTTATTTCCATCATTTAATAAAATATATCAAGGGTTTTCAGTTACAAGAGCAACGCAAGGGTTTCCTTGTATATGGTCTTAAAAACAGTCTACGTAAACTCTCCGCTCATTTGGCCGCAGCGAACCGGGTTCGCGGGACGGAGGGTGTTACAAGGCCAATCTATATTTATTTATCTAAATATTTATCAAGAATAAAAGGCCCTAAAGATTGTTTTTGCATCTCGTGTATCTAAACATATCTTTAGTCCAAAGACTTAGCGCTCTTGTAGCATAGATTAGAACTACAATGTTTTGATTATGAAGCTGTTACATTTATAGAGGCTATGTCTAAAATATCCTTAGTCGAATATTATGATAATACGGACGTCATAATATATTAAGACTAATACGTATGAGACAAGATAGTTGCGTCTCATAGGCTATGAATATTGTGATATCTTAATCTATACGTAAGTACATATCTGGAGATATGGTACTGGATTGACCCACCATTAGAATACTACATGGGTAATATTTTAATGTGTTAGTAGTATTCTCATTCGACCATTGGTATAACTATCCTTAGACTTGAAGTCATTACGATCTTTGATATGCTGACTTATATACTTTGATTCATATCTGATCTAATGCCATCTAAAATACTGGTGGACGTACAATTATGTTTTGAATATGTAGTTAAGCATATGCAAAGACGTGAATGTTGTAGAAAGAAGTTATCCCTCCCATTATGCTGAAGTATAATGTCTTCGGGCCCACTGATTGATGTGACTTAGGAAGTGCATGGCCATGCCCAGATAATTAATATATGTGATATTAATGTGATCTGAATCCCACAAGCCCATCGGAAAATCGGCAAACCAAAGATTTTATTTTAACAAGGTTACACTTCTCATACCTTGTAATAAATCTAGACATTAGTGATAAAGGGATAAGAGTTGTACAAATGATATGTGTCGTTGGAGGTATTGTTGCAATGAACTTTATGTTTATAACATGGGTAATGATAATATATGTGTTGCTAGACACCGCTTATCGTTTATAATATTAATTGTGATTAATGCTATTGCCATCGTTATGAATACCTAGAAGGGTCACACACATAGAACAATTGAACGGAGTAGAAAATTAAATGGAATGATGTGAAATAATATGGGATGTGTGACGTACATATTAAATAAATATGTTGACATTTTAAATATGTGATTATTAAGTTTGTCAAATATTATATGTGAAATAGTATATATATATATATACACACACACAGATATATATATATATATATATATATATATATATATATAGACACACACACACACTATAATATGATTACCGAATTATTAAATATATATTTAATATTTATTTGTCTTAATTATATGATAATTAAAGTTGACAAAATAAATTATTACATTTTGTGTACATAGGGCCGAAATATTGAAGGGGGGGGGGGGGGGAGNTCTACTTCCACAAAGTTAGGGAATAAGATCTCTTTTAAAAAAGGAGTCACACGCCACTTTGAACTACACTTCTCCTTATTGGCCGAAATTTCACAAGAGAAAACAAAAGAAATATTTTCTCTTCATCATTCTAATAATATTCTATATTATAGTAATATTTTAGGAAGAATTTACTAGCAGAAATTCTTCTGAGAACAACGTTAGTTGTTCGGGTGGACGCGCTAGAGGTTGGATTCTTTGTGACTGGTTCGTTGCACCAACCCCTTCACCAACACCGTCCGATCTATTTTCTACAAGAAAAGGTATTTTTCTCAACAATAATTCATATTTTTCGTAAGACGATCTTGGGTGGTAACGACGATTGGATATAAAATTTTGTTTACCGTTGTGCTATCCATGCGTGGTTACCCAACACGGTGACCCCTCCGACGTCCGTCCTTCCTCTTCTGGCCGCCGTCATCCTCTCTCCACCATTCGTACGCCGTTTCTAGTGATTCCAAGGTGAACCCTAATATTTTTTTGCCTTAATTAAAGTCTATAATTAATCTTGATCTTTTTTTCTTGTGATTCCATGATGATGAAGCATTGATTTACTGTAAATTATTAAAAAAAAATTGTGTTTAAAGTTATTTGACTTTTGTTAAATTTTTTTGGTAATTGTGCTAGTTAAAGTGGATTAATTTGATTCTTGTAAAGTGTTTGAAGTATGTTTTTTTGTTTGATATGTTACTTTTTGTTAATTATGCTAATTATCCCACATGTTATCGTAAATGAAACATTATAGTGCATATAATTGATAAAATGTTTTTTAAAACTTTTTGTTATAAAAAACTTTTAACTTATGTAAAAACTTTTTTATCGTATTGGTGGAATTGGTATTTTTATGTTAAAACTTATGTTAATACCACCTAATTTTAAAACTTTTTTATGGTATTGGTGGTATTGGTATTAACCAACATATGTTAATACCACCTTATGTTAACACTTTTTTCTTTTTTTAGCCTTTATCGTATTGGTATTTGTTTGGTATTCTTTAAGTTGTGAGTTAATTTGAATTGTTTATGTGTTATTTGCATTGTTCAATTTGTGATTCTTTTACATTAAACAGTTTTGAATTTTTGCTTCAATGACTGGATTTGGTGATCATGAATGAATGTATAATAAAATTGAATCTGAAGGTGTAACTAAAGAATGGGTTGACAATGTCATGAAGTTTGTGGATATTTTTTTCATCGAATCCCAATGTTGATCCATATAAGAACAACATGTGTTGTCCGTGTAAGTCATGTTATTAGAGCGTTGAGTATCTTATTATAGTGTTGAGTATCTAAAATAGGCAGGTTATATGTATCTATATGTATACATTCTTCTAACAATCCTAATCTTATACGTATGTATAGTTTTGGAATTCCAAAGAATTTAAGCATGAATCTGATGTGAAGAAAAAAACAGAAGAAAGGGGGAAAATGAAGGCGTAGCTATTGGGACCTATACTAGAGGGTCGATTCCTTTTCTGAGTACCTTGTCCGATTGGTAAGTAATGAACGAATGAATACATATTAATACTTTTTTAACTTCTAAATATATATACATATATATATGTTAATTACAAATAAGTAATGATTGGTAAGTAATGAACGAAAGAAAATATATATTTTTTGATGAATTAACAATGTTTATATTATAGGCCAAAAAGTCTGAAGCTCCCGTAACAATGGTGGATGCTTTCAAGCACACCAAGACGAAGAAACATGATGGGAAAACATGGATAGATCCAGAAAATGCACAACATGAGGTAAATGTTAATTATGTGCACACTTCTTGTTGGAAATATTTCATAAATTGGACATAAATTCGGTAGGGTCCACAAAATTATTTTCTAAAATAATTATGGACGATTAATCTCGTAAGTAAGACAAACGTCTTGACATATGACACGTCATAAACGGTGCTCGGGTGAATGAGAAATTAATTCTCAAAGTTGAATACTAAGGTAGAGTAAATGCCTTTGTCCCACACCGGGGCAGGGCGGGGCGGGGCGTGTCGCGTCGCGCCCGCGTTTGCGGCGTGGTGGGGCTAAATTTTTACGAGACTGAATTGAACACGCGTGGACACTTTGTAATTAATGAAGTATCGTCCAAGGGTTGAAGCATGCATGCATAATCGGACGAAGAGTCACTCGACTCTTCGTAATGTCCGACGGTCCAACGAAGGGCCAACTTCCTCTCCTATAAAAGGAGGGGTTGGCTGCAGAGATGTGTATACCAGTACACTTGAAATCTCTCTCTGTCTCTGCATTCCAAAAGGTTCCGATAACTCCCCAACTCCGATCATCTTCTCCGGCAGTAACACCTATCCTTCTCGTTCGTCGGTGCACGGTTCTACCGCTCTAGGCCTTGCACGAAGCGGTTTTATCCTGTGAGGAGATTGCCCATGTTTGCCAGTGCGGGAGGCGGGCAATACTATCTTAAGGAAAGCTTCGGCGACTCCGCTTTCCTTACCTTTTCCTTCGAGAAATTTCTCCGGCGACGCACAACCCTCGCTGTCCGTTCGTGTTCCTCCATTCCGTTCGAGCATCTTAAGAACTCCAACTTTTTCTTTTCTTTTTCGTTGTAAAATCCGAACGTATTATAAGTTCGGATTAATTTTGTTTTATTTTTCCCGCTGTAATATTCAACAATCTTAAGGTAGTATTATGGAGTTCGGATTCGGCATCGCGGGTTCCTCCGGCAACGGAATGAATTCCGAAGCTCCGGTCGAAACCTCCTCGGTTGCCATGGTTGTGCCTTCCTCACTGCTGCCCTTCGGGTCAAGTGTGGGGGCCTCCACCATGACGTCATTCTCGATGCCGAGCTCGATCTTCGGGTCAGCCCCTCGATCCACTCCCGGACTCGAAACCACGGGGGATTACCTCGTCAGCAATTCGAACCCGTTTGTCGGACTGACCATGGCTTCGGCCTCGACGGTCAACTTTGGACCGAAAGCGGGTTTCCCCGCACCGGTCAATCCGTTTGTTAGACCCCATTGGGCGAGCAACGGGCCTTTCCTCCATACGCCCAATGCAGTTGGGGCTATCTCAGTGTTCGCTAGCTCGGTCCAAAGGCCACCGAAGTTCAATGGCACGAACTTCAAAATGTGGCAACAAAAGATGATGTTCTTTTTGACCGTCCTGGGATTTGCTGAGTACCTGCAGCAAGATCCCCCCAGCCCAATGAAGCCAACGACCCCCTTGTGGCGATGGTGAACCAAACGTGGTACCACAACAACTATCTCGCCATCAATATTATTCTTGAAGGGCTGGGAGATACGTTGTACCCCGTCTATGCCAGTGCTAAGCTTGCAAAAGAGCTTTGGAATAGCTTGAACAAGAAGTATCAAGCTGAAGATGCTGGAACGAAGAAGTTCAATGTCGGGAAGATGTTGGACTACAAGATGGTCGACAGCAAATCTGTTGTCGCCCAGGCTGAGGAGCTTACGGTAATCTTCAACAAATGCAATGAAGAAAAAGTAGGCGTCAGCGAGGCCTTCCAAGTGGCAGCCATCATCCACAAACTTCCCCGGTCGTGGGAAGACTTCCAAGCCGACCTCAAGCTCAAAAGAACGGAGATAAACCTTTAGCAACTGCTCACACGGTTGAGAATCAGAGAGGAAGGGCTTGCTAGAAGAAGTGGAGGGGAAAAGGCGAATGTTGTAGAACATCCGTCGGGCTCTTCACATGGCGGAAAGGACAAGAAAAAAATGGGTCCTAAGGGTGGTGTTTCAAAATTTGCAGAGAAGTGCTACAACTGTGGCATTACCGGACATCGTTCCTCTGATTGTAGGAAAAAGAAGCCACAAAAGGGAAAGAAGAAAACCACTGAAGCCATGTGTGCGGAGCTTGACAACTTGGACCTCTGCGCGGTTGTCACCGAGGTGAATCTCGTCGGGTCAAACCCGAGGTAGTGGTTTGTGGACACAGGAGCCACACGCCATATTTGCTCAAACAGGAGCATGTTTCACGACTTCCAAGAGACCACTGGTGACAAGGCCTGGATGGGCAACTCGGCCCAATCAGAGGTACAAGGGGTTGGAAAGATCAAGCTGAAAATGACTTCCGGCAAGGAGCTCACGCTCAACGACGTGCTTTATGTGCCAGACATTCACAAGAATTTAGTGTCAGGGTCTTTACTGATCAAACACAGCTTTCGGATGGTGTTTGAATCAGATAAGCTAATCTTGTCCAAGAAAGGGATTTTTATAGGAAAAGGCTATATTTCCGATGGGCTTGTAAAGCTAAATGTATTGACTGTTCATAAAAAGATCAATAAAAATCCTGTGGCTTATGTGTGTGAGTCCTCTAGTTTATGGCGTGGTAGACTAGGACATGTTAATTATGCATCTGTTCGGAAATTAATTAACATGGAACACATACCTATGTTTAGTATTGACTTAACTCATAAGTGTGAAACTTGTGTTGAGGCTAAGTCAACTCAAAGTTCGTTTCAAACAATCGAACGAAATACTCAACCTCTAGAGTTGGTTCACACCGACTTATGTGATTTTCGAACAACGCCTTCAAGAGCGGGTAATAAGTACGTTATTACCTTCGTCGATGATAGTACGAAATATTTCTATATCTATTTACTAAAAAGTAAAGATGAAGCGTTAGACACTTTTATTCGATATAAGAATGAAGTGGAAAATCAACTCAATCGCAAAATCAAAGCATTGAGAAGTGATAGAGGTGGTGAGTACGATGCTCCACTTAATGAGTTTTATGCACAGCATGGAATAGTGCATCAAGTAACCCCACCGTATACACCACAGTCTAACGGTGTAGCGGAACAGAAAAATCGCACTCTGAAAGACATGATGAATGCGATGCTACTTAGTTCTGGATTACCCCAGAACATGTGGGGGGAGGCTGTTTTATCAAGTAATTATTTACTAAATAAAATACCTCATAAGAAACTTGACAAAACTCCGTATGAACTTTGGCATAATAGGAAACCTTCCTATAAGTATCTCAAAGTGTGGGGGTGTCTCGCGAAAGTACTTGCACCACCACCAAAGAAGATGAAGATCGGTCCAAAAACAGTTGATGGAATCTTCAACGGATACAATAGTACGTCGTATCGGTTCTTGGTGTACAAATCAGATAATCCTGAAATTCACAAGAACACAATCATTGAGTCACGGAATGCAACGTTTTTCGAGCACATTTTTCCGTGCAAGTCAAGTGACGAAGCAGGTTCGTCCAAACGTTCTCATGCTGAGATGATGGATAATGATGATCCAAATCAGTTGAATTCCGATGACGATGATGAAGTCGAACATGAGACTGAACTGAGACGAAGTAAAAGAATGCGAACTGAAAAGACGTTCGGTATAGCCAACGCGAGGGCTATGACTACTTTGATACTTACGCGCCTATGACTAGGATAGATTCTATCAGAATGATCATCGCATTTGCATCCTTACGAAACATGGATGTAAAGACTGCTTTTGTAAATGGCGAACTAGAAGAAGAAATCTATATGGAACAACCCGAGGGGTTTAAGGTTCCGGGCCAAGAAAAAAAGGCCTGCAAACTTGGGAAATCATTATACGGTCTTAAACAAGCGCCAAAACAATGGCACGATAAGTTTGACGAGGTAATGATGAACAACAGTTTTAAGATAAATGAGTCGGATAAGTGCGTTTACTTCAAGGACACATGTGAAGGATATGTTATTTTGTGTCTGTATGTAGACGACATACTCATCGTTGGAAGCAACGATAGGATGGTTAAGTCCACCAAGGACATGTTGAACGCACGATTCGATATGAAAGATTTGGGTCTCGCTGATGTGATTCTTGGAATCAAAATACTAAGAAGACCGGATAGTCTGAGCTTGAGCCAATCCCACTACATTGACAAGATCCTTGAGAAATTCAACAAGGATGATACAAAGATAGCTAAGACGCCGATAGACGTAAATGTTCACCTTGGTAAACACCGAGGGGGTAGAGATTCTCAAACAGAATACGCTAGAGTTATCAGAAGTCTGATGTATCTGATGAGCTGCACACGGCCAGATTTAGCTTGCGCCATTAACAAACTAAGTAGGTATATGAGCAATCCGAGTGCTGAGCACTGGAAGGCCATAGTCCGAGTAATGAGATACCTTCAGTATACTCGAGATTATAGCCTATGCTATGGCAGGTATCCACCCGTGCTGGAAGGGTACACTGATGCCAACTGGATTGCGGACAATAAGGATTCAAAATCCAGAAGCGGATTTATCTTTATGTTAGCCGGTGCAGTTGTTTCCTAGAAATCCTCAAAACAAGCGTTAATTGCCAGATCCACCATGGAATCTGAGTTCATAGCACTAGATAAGTGTGCAGAACATGCCGAGTGGCTTCAGAATTCACTTGAGGATATTCCAAACTGGGAAAAACCAGTTCCTCATATTTGCATTTATTGTGACTGTCAGTCAGCAATAGGACGAGCTCGGAACAAATTGTATAATGGTAAGTCTAGGCATATTCGCCGTAGACACAAAACCATTAGGCAACTTCTCAATACGGGTATTATCTCGATCGACTATGTCAAGTCAAAGGATAATTTAGCGGATCCATTAACCAAAGGGTTAACCAATGAGCAACATGAGAAGTTAGTCGTAGGAATGGGTCTGAAAGCCCTACCTTGTGTTGGGAACGTTCCATGAAGGAAAACCCAACCTAGGTGGTACCTGGGTTCAATGGGACAACCTACTTCTGGAACGAAGCACGGTCACTGTGGGGGCAAGCCGGATCACCGACTTAACACCCCTCCGTTCCTACTGAGATATAGTGACTTCTGAAAACCATGAGGTTAGCATGGTGCTTTAATGATTTTTGAACTATGGACAACGAGGTCCAAGTGGAGTAATCGGGATACTCTTAGAAGAATCACCTATGTAAGAGTGAAGTGTGGTCGCTTCAACAGAAGGATTTAGGGCTCATCCTGTCTGACACTCTCGCAGAACCAGACGCGTGTTCCACGACCATAATGGGCACACCCATGAGAACAGAATGATGGTTGGTTGAAACTTGTGTATTGTATATCGTCGTTTACATAAACGGCAGTACAGTTCAAAGACATCACGTTCTACTGAACAGCAAGTAGAGAAGGTATACTTTACAAGGATTAGGTTCAAAGGTTTAAAACCTACCTACTCTTGCAGGTTTCAACTATAGAGTTATTGCCAGTTACATGAATTAATTTTCATTCATGTGGGGGATTGTTGGAAATATTTGATAAATTGGACAATTTTGGACATAAATTTGGTAGGGTCCACAAAATTATTTTCCAAAATAATTATGGACGATTAATATCGTAAGTAAGACGAACGTCTTGACATATGACACGTCATAAACGGTGCTCGGGTGAATGAGAAATTAATTCTCAAAGTTGAATACTAAGGTAGAGTAAATGCCTTTGTCCCACACCAGTTTCTAAACCTTTCGTATTCTCATATTTAAGCTTAGGCATTGAATTGAGCTTATGAAAGGAACAAGAAGAGGACTCCTCGCGCGCCCGCCGCCGCCGCCGTCCGTCCGGCTCGACGCGCGCGGGCGGGGCGTGGTGAGGCGCGTCGCGTCGCGTTGCGCCCGCGGCGGGGCGGGGCTAAATTTTTACGAGACCAAATTGAACACGCGTGGACACTTCATAATTAACAAAGTATCGTCCAAGGGTTGAAGCATGCATGCATAATCGAACGAAGAGTCACTCAACTCTTCGTAATGTCCGACGGTCCAACGAAGGGCCAACTTCCTCTCCTATAAAAGGAGGGGTTGGCCGCAGAGATGTATATACCAGTACACTTGAAATCTCTCTCTCTGTATTTGCATTCCAAAAGGTTCCGATAACTCCCCAACTCCGATCATCTTCTCTGGCAGTTACATATAATCCATATGTTTCTTATATTCATTATGTATTTCATTGTACATGCTGATTTTGTACTATTGAAACAAATGGATGAGGAGTCGGGCCATTAAGCCACGGTCAAGATGTTTTGTTTAAACTGGTGATATTTAAGTCGGGCCTCCGAAAAAAAGAACGACTCTTTCTCTAAAGATTTTTTGAAAATGTCGGCCAATTGGTTGTGTGTTTCAACAAGCTCAATTTCGACATCACCTTTGAGAACATGATCTCTAATGAAATGATGCCTAATGTCAATGTGTTTCGTCCTTGAATGAAGAACGGGGTTCTTTGTCAAGCTTATGGCGCTAGTATTATCACAATGAAGAGGAACGTGATTGATACTAAGGCCATAGTCCACGAGTTGTTGCTTCATCCAAAGGATTTGAGCACAACAACTACCGGCGGCTACATATTCCGCTCGGTTGTGGATAACGCAACACTAACTTGTTTCTTACTAAACCATGAGACTAGAGAGCTACCAAGCAAGTGGCAAGTCCCACTCGTACTTTTACAGTCCAATTTGCAATCGGAAAAGTTCAAGTCGGAATAACCAACGAGATGACACGAAGAGCCTTTTGGATACCACAGTCCAACGTTAACGGTGCCAACAAGGTATTTCATGATCCGTTTTACCGCCGTTAAATGCGATTCCTTCGGACATGATTGATACCTTGCGCAAAGGCATACGCTAAACATGATATCCGGCCTACTAGCAGTAAGATAGAGAAGGGATCCGATCATACCTCGATATTTTTTTACTTCTACTTCCTTACCTTTCTCGTCTTTGTCAAGATGGTCAGACGTGCTCATCGGGGTCGCCGTGGCTTTGGCATTGTCCATTTCAAACCCTTTTAGGAGCTCCTTGCAATATTTATCTTGGCAAATGAATGTGCCATCTTTCATTTGCTTGACTTGGAGTCCCAAAAATAATGTGAGCTTGCCCATCATTGACATTTCGAATTCACTTGTCATTAACGTTGAGAATTCCTTGCACAAAGACTCGTTAGTTGCACTGAATATAATATCGTCTACATAAACTTGAACCAAAAGGATGTTATTGTTTTTACTCTTGATAAAAAGTGTGGTGTCAACCTTTCCCCTTTGGAAACCATTGTCCAAAAGAAATTTACTCAAACGTTCGTACCAAGCACGGGGTGCTTGTTTAAGACCGTAGAGCGCTTTCTTGAGTTTGAAGACGTGGTCGGGATACTCAAAGTCTTCAAACCCCGGGGGATGGTCGACGTACACTTTCTCTTGAATAAAACCATTGAGGAAGGCCCTCTTAACATCCATTTGATAGAGTTTAAAATCCATAGACGAAGCAAAAGCAAGAAGTAAACGAATAGCTTCTAAACGTGCTACGGGTGCATAAGTTTCTTCGAAATCAATGCCTTCTTCTTGATTGTAGCCTTTATCTACGAGCCTAGCTTTGTTTCTAGTGATTATTCCATTTTCATCAAGTTTGTTACGGAACACCCGTTTCGTACCAATAATCGTACGATCATCGGGCCTTGGCACCAATTCCCAAACATCATTTCGTTTGAATTGGTTTAGCTCCTCTTGCATAGCCAAGGTCCAATGTTCATTGTTTATTGCTTTGGAAATGGTTGTAGGTTCAATTTGAGAAACAAAAGCCATGTGTCCTACGGTGTCCCTAAGTGAGTTACGAGTACTTACCCCGCGGTTGATGCTGCCGATTACCTGGTCAAGTGGATGGTTCTTGTTCGTTCTCCAAGCAATGGGAAGCTCAGTTTCCTCTTGTTCCTGGGCTTCCTTGTGTTCTTCTTCGTCCGCTTGATCCTCATTTTCGACCATCACTTGAGGTGTTTTCTCAGGTTGTGGTTGTGGGTTGGTGTATAATGGCGTGTCTTCCTCATCGTCTTCAATGTGTATTCTTTCAAGTGAATCTGCAAGATCATCACAAATAGCCTTTCTCGCCAAGCGAGTATTATCTTCGGAAAACACAACATGAGGGAACTCCTCAATAGTTAAGGTGCGTTTATTAAACACTCTATAGGCCTTGCTCGAAGTTTGGTAAGGTTTGGCTTTATCCCTTTGTATAATTCATAGGGCGTTTTCATGAGTATCGGTCGAATGACGGCTCGGTTTAACACGTAGCTCGCGTTTTTCACGTAACAACATCATTAAGAGTTAAAGGATCATTGGGAGAAGGTTCTTGATCACTTACCTCTTTTGATGTTTCACTATCCTCAATGGCCATGAGACATAGGTTGGCCACTTCCTCCGTTTCCGAGTCTTCACTCCCGGAGCCGTCGTTCTCCCAAGAAATGTAGGCACGTTGCTTCTTTGGTGCCCTCTTGTCCTTCTCGTTCTTGAGCTTTGGACACATTGGTTTGATGTGTCCAATTTCACCACACCCATAGCACTTGGGTGGAGTGTTCTTCTTTGCTCCCCTATTGAGCATCATCTTCTTGAATTTTCGGACGAAGAGTCCAAGGTCGATGTCGTCGGTGTCATCATCTTCATCATCAACGTTGTTGTGGGATGATGTTGTTGCGGGTAGAGCAATATACCTCTTGCTCTTCTCTTCAACCACCTTTGAGAGTTGGGTGGTTTCGTAGGTAATGAGATTACCACGAAGAGCATCATAGGTCGTTGTTTGGAAGTCACGACCTTCTTCAATTGCGTCCACCATTGAACGCCATTTTGGGGATAAGCTTCGTAGAACCTTTCTTACAAGTTCTCGGTCGGTGTATGTCTTCCCGAGAAGGTTGAGAGGATTAATGATGTTAGAGAACATCTCAAACATTTCCTCAATCTTCTCGTTTTCCTTCATTGATAAGAGTTCGTACTCGTGGGTGAGATGGTCGATTTTGGCCTCCCGAACCTGCGCAGTTCCTTCCTAGGAGACCTCCAATTTCTCCCACATTTTTTTTTCGGTTTCACACCGCGAGATTTTGCGGTAGTCATCCGCATTAACACCGCAATAAATCATGTTTATTGCCTTTGCGTTGAGCTCCATCTTTTTGCAGTCTTTGTCGGTGAACTCCTCTTCGGTTTTAGGGACGTTGACTTTACCGACTTTCTTCATCGAGACTCCACACCCGTTCTTGACTATCAACCACAGTTTGTAGTCATTAGATTGGATGAAGATCCTCATCCTCTCCTTCCAATAAGAATAGTTGGTTCCGTCAAACAACGGTGGCTTTGTGGTTGATTGTCCCTCGGTCACTCCTGCGTTGAACATTCTTGATGCCATTTGATCTTTTAGTTCCTGAAAAAAATAACGTATTTGAAGAACTTCCTGCTCTGATACCAATTGTTAGACAAATGTGCAACTCTAGAGGGGGGGTGAATAGAGTTGTTTTTAAGAATGTGCGTTTTTCGCGTGTGTGATGTAAAAATCATAAGAATAAATAAAAAGAGTAAGGGAAAGAAGAACACCGAGATTTATACTGGTTCACCACCTCGTGGCTAGTCCATGATAAATAAAAAGAGTAAGGGAAAGAAGAACACCGAGATTCAGATACTGTGTTCTCATTGACTCTTCGGTTTCCCATGTTGCTTCTTCAGTCGAATGATTTCTCCATAGTACTTTGACTAGGGGTACGGATTTGTGTCTCAATTGTTTGACTTCTCGTGCTAGAATTTGTACAGGTTCCTCCTCATAAGTCAATTGTTCGTCAAGAGTTACGATTCCTTCAGTCAAGATATGTGATGGATCGGAACGATATCTTTTCAACATCGATACATGGAATACGTCATGGATTTTGTTCAGTTCTGCTGGAAGTTCTAACCGATAGGCTACTGGACCCACACGTTCAGTGATTCGATAGGGTCCAATATATCTCGGACTTAGTTTTCCCTTTCTACCGAACCGTAACACTTTCTTCCACGGTGAGACTTTTAGAAACACCTTGTCATCAACATTATATTCGATCTCCCGACGTTTTAAGTCGGCATAAGATTTCTGTCGATCGGAAGCCACCTGCAATCTTTCTCTGATTAGACGAACCTTCTCTTCAGTTTCGCGAACGAGATCAGGTCCTTCAAGCTTTTGCTCACTTAATTCTGTCCAGCATACTGGGGTTCTACAGCGTCTCCCATACAAGGCTTCGTACGGGGCCATTTGGATACTCGCTTGATAACTATTGTTATACGCGAATTCCATTAGCGGTAAGTATTGTTCCCAGTTGCTTCCAAAATCAATTACACATGCTCTCATCATATCTTCAAGAATTTGAATTGTCCTTTCAGATTGTCCGTCAGTTTGAGGATGAAATGCCGTACTAAAGTTAAGTTTAGTACCTAAGGCTTTCTGCAAACTCTTCCAGAATTGCGA